CATGTAAGTTTATCACTGTTGTAATATACTTCCATGTAAGTTTATCACTGTTGTATTATAATTCCATGCAAGTTTTAACACTGTTGTAATATAATTCCATGCAAGTTTATCACTGTTGTATTATAATTCCATGCAAGTTTTAACACTGTTGTAATATAATTCCATGTAAGTTTATCACTGTTGTGATATGATTCCATGCAAGTTTTAACACTGTTGTAATATAATTCCATGCAAGTTTATCACTGTTGTAATATAATTCCATGCAAGTTTTAACACTGTTGTAATATAATTCCATGCAAGTTTTAACACTGTTGTAATATAATTCCATGCAAGTTTTATCACTGTTGTAATATACTTCCATGCAAGTTTTAACACTGTTGTAATATACTTCCATGCAAGTTTATCACTGTTGTAATATAATTCCATGCTAAGTTTATCACTGTTGACATGGAATTATATTAAAGTTTATCACTGTTGTAATATAATTCCATATAATATATATATAATTACTCACATAGCTATGTAGCTTTTGTGTAATTGAGTGAAGTAATTTTACTCGTCTCTTTGTCCTATGTGTCAAATAGGTGTTGAAATGATTTTTTTCAAAAATGTGAGAGTGTAATAATTAAGAAACAAATATTTTTTGGATGTTTGTGCCAGATATCAAAAACTTATTTGGAACTTCATACTCATCATTATACTCTATTATAATTTAAAATATGAGTGTACTGTGAGCAATGAATATAAGAAAATAGGCACACTATAAATATTCTTATGGAAACGTTTGCTTTCAGCACTATGACTGCAGAAACCACATCAGGGTTATCCAGCCAGTTGGAGAAGGAAATCAGCTGTACGTTTGTGGAACTAATGCACACAACCCCATGGACTGGATCATCCATGTAAGTTTAATACTATTGTAGTGTACCCCAGTGCAAGTTTAATACTAATGTAGTATACCCCAGTGCAAGTTTAAAACTGTTGCAGTATACCCCAGTGCAAGTTTAAAACTGTTGCAGTATACCCCAGTGCAAGTTTAATGCTGTTGTAGTGTACCCCAGTGCAAGTTTAATACTAATGTAGTATACCCCAGTGTAAGTTTAAAACTGTTGCAGTATACCCCAGTTCAAGTTTAAAACTGTTGTAGTATACCCAGTGCAAGTTTAAAACTGTTGTAGTATACCCCAGTGCAAGTTTAAAACTGTTGTAGTATACCCCAGTGCAAATTTAAAACTGT